AAGCATCCTCTCTATACCCCAGAGCAGCTGGGCTTCATCCTGCCAGTGAGAAGTCTTCCAGGTGATGGTACACCTGGCCTTTTCCTCCAGCTCCTTCTTCCATGGGGAAGTCAAGCCTTAGAGGCTTGAAGAGGGCAGAAAGCAGGGGGGAGGGCCTGATGTATAACTTGTCAATATATGCTGCCTGTGTTGCCTTTGATAACTTATTCAGCCTCTCTGAGCCTAGTGTTCTGGTTTATGAAATGAGGCAGACAGCTCTCCTCTAGGGGTGTGTGGTGTGTGTGTGTGTGTGTGTGTGTGCGTGTGCGCCAGTACTGGAGCTTGAACTCAGGGTCTCACACTTCTGCTTGGGTTTTTCAATCAATCTACCACTTGAGTCACACCTCCACATCTTTTTTTTTTTTTTTTTTTTGCTTGTTACTTGGAGGAAAGAATCTCTGGGACTTGTCTGCCTGAGCTGGCTTTGAACCAGGATCCTCAGATCTCAGCCTCCCGAGTAGCTATGATTCTAGGCATGAGCCATCAGCACCTGGCCTCAACTAACGTCCTTATTGGGTCTTAAGAAAGGGAAAGGAGGTAGTCTAATATATGATACTTCACACTGTTCAAACGAACTAGTGTTTTTCTGTCCCTTTCTCACTATCAACCAAGTGAGTACCTTGGAGAAGTTCCAGCACTGGGCAGGAGTCTGAATCTCTGTCCTCCAGGTGAGCTGCAAGGAACCTGTGCCTCCTGCTAGCTGGCTGCTGGGGCCACTGACCTGGGATGGAAGGAAATATGACCTGGAAGCTTCCCTTCACTACACCTAGAGATGCCTAGACAGTCTGAGACTTGGCCTGTTACTGCACAGGTCCAGAGACTCCCAAGCCCCTTGGGGCTGGGAACTCTTCACACCTAGTAATAAGTGCAGGAAAACCAGTCTGGAGCCACAGAAAGTCACAGAAGCTTGCGTTGAGGGACCTCCAGCCTCCTGGGAGAGATGGAGAGACATGCAGAGATTAGAGATTGCAGAGGGTCCGCAGGCAGTTGCAGATGGAGTTGAGCAGTGGTCCCTGCCCCTAGACCAGGATAGGAGTGAGAGGGTCCAGAAGCTCCCTTAAGAAGCCAAGATCTATGGACAACTGGGCCTCAGGTACACTTGCATCTGCTCTTGTGTATGGTCCCTGGGCTCCTGAGGCCTGAGTTGGGGAAATGGTAAGTTTGAGACCATGTACAAGAGGTAGAGGTGGATCTGCAGTTGGTCCTGGAAGGAGAGGAGAAGGATATTCCAGAAGGTGGCCCTCTGGCCACAGATGATCAGAATAGTCACCTGCTGGCAGGACTCTGGAGTGCCCCTCAGGGCCTGTGCGTCTGCAGGGGAGATGGCAGTCTGCAGGAATGGTCACGTTTGCTCTCCGACTCTGCTGCTTCAAGCTGTGCTCAACTGCAGGAAACCCACGAGGCCAGGCCCTGCCCCATACTCCGTCCCGACCTCTGCTCAGAGCAGTCCCCACAGGCCGTGGACATGGCCAGGACTTGCCTTTCACCTCCATGGCTCAAAGTCAAAACAAGGCTTTGGAGAGGAAACGGCTCACTGCCTCACCCGCCCTGCTCTGGCCAGGCAAGCTGGACTCCCAGCTCCCAATCCCTGCTCAGTCTGCATCTCTGAGCTTCTCTGGATCTCCCTTGCTCTATCTTGTCACAGACACCTTAGGTCAGGTTAGCTGACCATCCTGCCTTTTCAGCTCTAAGGTAGTGTTTTGTATTGAACAGGGGCTGGAGGCAGAGAGCTGAGGCAGCCACTGGGGACAGGCTGGAGGACACTGGAGGTCAGAGGCTGAGAAGAGGAGCTAGGGCCTCACCTCTCTTCCTGGGAGCTGCCTTTTGGAAGAGCAGATCTAGCACTTTCGGGAGGCAGTGACTGGGAGGGAAGAGGCCTCTGGCTCTTCCAGAGATGCCCCAAGAGGAGATGGGGGGCAGGGGATCGTGGCTACCAGACGGGAAAGAGGATTATTGAGGGTGTAATTAGTATACTTGTGGGCCTCCACCAAACTTCCCCTTCCTCTTGACAATTTGTGGCCAAAACAGTTCTGATTCCTTGTGGACTCACTTCAACTCTTATCCGGAAAAATTTTTTTTGTTTTAATAAAATAAATAAATAAGAGAAAGAAAGAAAAGGAAAAGGAAGAAAAACGAAGAGGGTTGTTATTTGTGAAATTGCATTTCCCAGCCATAAGAGTGAGTCACACAGCCTCTGAGCTTCAAGTTTCTTGTTTGGATGAACTTTTCTCTGACAGGCTGGGGCGATGGTGCTCCTCCTTGGGTCGATTGGGGGTGTGGGGGCGTGGGGGGAGAGCGTCTCAGTGAAGATAAGCAGAGGCCTGATGTCTGGAAAATTCCAGGCGCTTCTGACTAGAGGAGCCCAAGGCTGCTTATACCTGAGAAGTCTGAAAAATGTGGGTTCAGGCAGGGGAGGCCAGGGCAGGACCTAATTGTCTTAGACTATCAGTTTGGGATGGTGGAGAAGTTCTGAGGTGGGTGTGGGGGATGATGGTTGCACAACAGAGTGAAGCTCTGTGTGTGTGTGTGTGTGTGTGTGTGTGTGTGTGTGTGTGTGTGTGTGTGTGCAGGTATTGGGTATTGGAGTTTGAACTCAGGGCCTGGGCACCACCCTTTAGCTTTTCCACTCATAGCTAGCCACTTGAGCCTCATCTCCACTTCTGCCTTTTTGTTTTGCTAGTTAATGGAGATTAGAGTCTCATGGACTTTTTGGCCTGGGGTTGGCTTTAAATCACAATCCCTCAGACCTCAGCCTCCTTAGTCACTAGGATTAGAGGTGTGAGCCTGGGTTTGTAAATTCTCTTGATGCCAATGAACTGTACACTTTATAATCATGAAAGCACCAACCTCTGTTATGGGTATCTTACCACATGCCCAAATCTGCCCACAGTCCCAAGCAGCTGCTCTGGTGGGAATGAGGTGGGGGTGGGAATCTGAGGTGGAGCCCAGAAAAGAGTTTTGCTTCCCAGATTCCCAGGTCATCCGATCCAAGTTTGGACACACTCATTTAATCTGTGAAATGGGGACGGTGACTCACTGAGCAGCCATCCCAGTGAGTGTAAAGTTTTCAGGGCTTGGCTGGTCTCTGTGGTCACCTGATCTAACCACCATTGGAGCTGTCTCCAGGTCCCATAAGGTGGCTACCATGGCCTTATTGCTTCCAAGAATGGAATGCTGTGCCTTGCTCGGAGAGATGGCTCCAGCCTGGGCTGCTTGAGGCCCGGGAACGGGGGTGGAGGCTGGCTCGGTGCAGGCTGGTGCAGTATCTTTCTAGTCCTGGGTTTCATGGTGAACCAGACAGGCACAGTCATCAGGACTCATAGAGTTCCCTTCCCTAGGCATTGGGGGATCCAGCTGTGGTGTATGTAAGAGGACATGGAGGCTCATGTGGGTGCGGCTGCTCTGGTTGGGGGAGGGGAAGCACAGCCATATCTCTCATCCCTCCCCTTCCTGCATAGGAAAGACTGGCCCCCACTCTGGGCCCTTCTCTGTCCCCATCTTTTCCTTTTGTTTTCCCCTCTTGTCCTGGGGCTTGAACTCTGGGCCTGTCCGCTCTCCCTGAGCTTGTTTTGCTCAAGGCTCGCACTCTACCTCTTGAGCCACAGCACTATTTCCAGCTTTTTTGGTACCTTATTGGAGATAAGAGTCTCATGGACTTTACTGCCTGGGCTGGCTTTGAGCCAGGATTAAAGCCATGACCCACCAGTACCCAGCATGTCCCATCTTTTTAAGAGGCTGGGAGACTTCAAGAGCAAAGCCCCATCTCCCCCATCAGACTCACTCTCCCTACCAAAGTCCATAGCTTGCTCTTGCTGCTCGTGGGCACCTACGTTGGAGTCAGGGGATTTCCCAAACCTTGTGCTCAGAATTGCTATGGACCTTTCTGGGGACCCATGGCCATTCTGTGTCAGCCCCACCTTCGCTAAATTCCAGTGTGCCAGGCCGCCTGGAGCCCGTGATTCCTATAAATAGAGGCTGTGTACACCAGCCTCAGCAAGATGTCTGGTTCCTGTCATGCAGAGGTGGAAGAGGTGGCACTCTTCTCTCCTCTGGCTCCCAGAGGAATGGCTGGCTGGCCTGGGCAGGGCTTCCAAATAGGCCTGTGTGTGCGTGTGTGTGTGTGTGTGTGTGTGTGTGTGTGTGTGTGTGTGTGTGTGTGTACAGGAGACCAGGCAGGGGCTGGACCACAAAAATGGAAGCCATGCTGCAAGCCCAGGTACCTTTTCCTTGCCAGATGAGGAAACTGAGTCAGCAGTGATTCTACTAGTCAGTGGCACAGTCCTACATTTGAAAGGCTGCTTTCTGTGATCCTGTCTTAGCTCATCATCATGTGAAAAGGAGCAACAGTAATGAGCTAGGGGCTGGTGGCTCACACCTGTAATCTTAGCTACTCAAGCAGCTGAGGTTGGATGGAGGATCCCAGTTCAAAGCCAGCTCAGGCAGACAAATCTGAGCGACTCTACTCCTTAGTTAACCAGCAAAAAAAGCTGGAAATGGGGGTGTAGCTCAAGTGGTAGAGCACCAGCTTTGAGCAAAAATGTTAAGTGTATAAGGCCCTGAGTTCAAGTCCCAGTAGCACATACGCCCACACTCACACACATGTACTCTCTTACACATACACTATTAATGGCAATAATAATAATAATAATAGTTATAATAGTAATCATTGCTCTGTTCTGAAGTTCCTAGGCCAGGCATGACATACAGCAAGCACACTATTGCATGACCTCATTTTAGCCTCCTGGAAACCCTATGGGTAGGTATCACTAGTTATAGAGAGGGCCAGTAAGGCCCAATGTGGCTGACTGGTTTGTCCAAGGACACAAAATAGACTTAGGATTTGTACTCAGGATCCCTGGGTGAGTTGAAACCTCATGTGTATTCCCATATGCTGTGGAAGAGGGAGGTAGAAATCACCCAAGGGGGGGCCTTGGCCAAAACTGAGTCTTTGTCCCTCACAGGCTCTGGGCAACAGCGTGTACAAGAGTGCCTCACCCTACGGCTCCCTGAACAACATCGCAGACGGCCTCAGCTCCCTCACCGAACACTTCTCCGACCTGACTCTCACCTCTGAGGCCCGCAAGCCCAGCAAGCGGCCCCCACCCAACTACCTGTGCCACCTGTGTTTCAACAAAGGCCACTACATCAAGGACTGCCCCCAGGTAAGGCAGCCCTGGCTCATGAAAGGACTCTGAGCATGCCTGGATGATCAGGGAGGAGCACTGCTCGGTGGGTAGCAGGGTGCAGTGCCCTTCCACCCTGGGCCTCTCCCCTTGCTGTCCTTCAATCTCTTTGGCTGGTGAGAGGAGACTGACTGGTGTAGACAGGACAGAGGAGGCCTCTGCTGCTTGATCAGCAATCTGAATGGGAGCTTCTGGATCCAAGTTACCCCCACCCCCACACCACACACACAAAACAATGAGATTCGAGGCCTCCAGATCGCCACCAGTTTCTCTGCAGGGTGAGTTCCCTGGCGGTGGGCAGGATGGGGGCCAGCAGCTCTGGAGGCTACATCTGCTTGCACTCACTGGGAAGGAATGCAGGCTCAGGGCCAGGAATCCAGATGTGCACCCCCCCTCCCCATCTCTGCTTCTTCAGCCTGCAACAGGACAGATGAGGAGTCCTGGCACACGTCTGGGCAAAGGCCTTGGGCCATGAGGGGCTGAGCATCTTTCTCAGGGTTGGGATGCCTTAGGGAGATGGTGGGTCCTGAAGGATCCTTTGTGACAATGTGTGAGGAAGCGGTGATCCCTGTTTCATGTGGCTTTTGTCATCCTGGGGCTAGGAGGGGGCAGCTGTCTTGTAAAGCACCTCAGTTTGTAGCCATCATTTTGTTTTTACATATATATATATATGCATATATATATATATATATATCTTCCAGGCTAAAAAATAATAATGTGGCTAGTGGTTTGATTTCATATATGTAATAGCAATGGAATCCTAGAGACTGAAAATCTGCGTCCATTACCCTCCAGCTGTTAAAAGCTGAGTGTAGCTGGTAGGGAGGGGCTGGGCCCAGGACTGTGCCCCCCGCCCAGAGGTATTTGCCGCTCATCAGAGCCCCATTTTCAAGGACTGCACCAGGCAGACTTTAGTCTTTGGTGCTTAAAATATAGGCCCAGCACAGTCTCCCTCAAGGGCTCCGCTTAAGGGACTTGTAAGAAATGCAGAATCCGAAGCTCACCCCAGCATACATGTGGGTCATATGTATGTGGTTCCGCACAGCTGGACTTGCATGATGGGGGCTGACCCACTAATACTGGTCCTTGATCCTATATCCCCTACTCCTGTTTCCCCCTCAATAGAGGTCATAAGCAAGAAACCTTTTTTTTGGGGGGGGGTCCAGTCGTGGGGCCTGAACTCTGGGCCTGGGTGCTGTCCCTCAGCTCTTCAGTTCAAGGCTAGCGCTCTACCATTTGAGCCACAGCGTCACTTCCGGCTTTTTTTCTTTTTGCTTATGTGGTGCTGAGGAATCAAACCCAGGGCCTCAGGCATGCAAGGCAAGTGCTCTACCACTGAGCCATCTTCCCAGCCCAAGAAACCTTTTTATATTTGTTTGTTTTGTGGTTGATCATGGGGCTTGATCCCTGAGCTTTTGTGCTCAAGGCTAGCACTCTACCGCTGTGAGCCACAGCTCCACTTCCATTTGTGTGTGTGTGTGTGTGTATGTGTGTGTGTGTGTGTGTGTGTGTGTGTGTGTTTGATTGAAGCTAAGAATCTTATGGACTTTTCTACCAAGGCTGGTTTTTAACTGTGATCCTCAGATCTCAGCTCCTGAGGAGCTATTACAGACATGAGCCATCAGCCCTGGGCACAAGAGACCCTTGTGTGTGTGTGTGTGTGTGTGTGTGTGTGTGTGTATGTGTGTGTGTGTACTGATACTGGGGCTTGAACTCAAAGCTTCACATTCTTGCATGACTTTTTTGATCAAGGCTAATACTCTACTACTTGACCCATGCCTCCACTTTTGGCTTTCTGCCATGTAATTGGAGGTAAGAGTCTTATGAACTTTTCCTGCTTGGGCTGGCTTTGAACCTCAGTTCTCGTATTTCAGCCTCCTGAGTAGCTAGGATTACAGGCATGAGCCATCCACACTTGGCACATGAAGCATTTGATATAAGGGGCCCTCAGAAGAGACAGAGTCTTTACCCTGTTCTAGGACTTTGGCTGAGGAGGGCAGTAGTGACTCTGGTTCTCAAGGATCTGCCTGTGGTTTGCCAACCAAGAGCTCATGGGTATTGTGGTTCACAGTTCCCTCATCCCCTCCTGCTTGGCCTGGGAAGTGAGTAGAGTGGAATTTGCCCCAGGGAAGAGGAGAAGGGCCGTGTGCAGAATGCATCTCTGTGATTTCATGCACTGCTCACCACCTCCCAGAGTCTATGAACTGCTTTATTCTGCAAGGTGAAACAGGAGCTTTAAGCAGGGAAGGAATTCCACAGACAGTAGAACTAGGGAGAGATGTGAGGGCCTGTCAACAGGCCAGGCCAGAAGACTTCTAAATGTCAGGACCAAGTTGGGGGAAGGACGAGGTTAATCACTACTATTTCTTCTTTTCTTCCTCCACTTTTTTCCTTCTTCTCCTTCCCCTTCTCCTTCTTCTCTTCCTCCTCCTCTTCCTCTTCTTTTTCCTCTTCCATTTCCTCCATGTTCTCTTCCTCCTCCTCCTCCTCCTATACTAGTGTTTGGACTCAGGCCTTCATGCTCACTATGCTGGCACTTTACCACTTGAGCCACATACTTCCAACCCTTTTCACTTCAGTTATTTCTTAGATAGGGCTTCAGGTTTTTGCCAGGCCAAGCAAGCCTGGACAGAGATCTTCCATGTAGGTGGAATCACAGGCACAGGCCACCATGTCAGCTTCTTGGTTGAGGTGGTATCTTGATAACTCTTGGACTAGGTTGACCTTGAATCATGCCTCTGGAGTCACTGGAATTACAGGCATAAGCCACCACATCCGGCCTGGTTCTTTCATTTATTTCTGTTTACTTTTTTTGAGATGAGGTCTCAATGTGTAGCAAAGAGCACTCTTGAATTCACAATCCTCCTGCCCCTGTCTCCCAAGTGCTGGGGTTACAGGTATGTACACCCTCATCAGACTGGGCTGGTTCTTCTTTTATATGGCTTGCTTTTAACTCCGTAGCAGCAGTAGAAGTTGGGTCTTTGTCTTATTGGATGCTGGGCTATCAGGCAGAATATGTGTGAGAACTTGGAGTCTTAGTGTGTACTGTCTCCCTAGATCAACTAGCTATACCAGCCCCAAGCTGAGACCCCTCCCCCCCCCACACACACGCCATGGTCTGTATAGTCTGGCTGAGTTTGGCAGCATAAAGCTTTTCGATCCTCCCCATCTGAAACCTGAGTTTGTATGGGATTCCTGAAGACCCAAGGATGCCCTGCTTCCTGGATGGAATGAGGCGAATGGGAGCACTAGCACCCAGGAATGCTTGAGAATGCAAGACAATCATTCTGGGAGAGAGTTGGGATCTTCCTAGCTCTGCTTCCCATGTAGGTTAGATCACAGGCCATGCCCAACAATGTCCTTCCTTTTTGTTTTTGTCAGTCATGGGGCCTAAACTCTGGGCCTAGGAACTGTCCCTCAGCTTTTCAGCTCAAAGCTAACCCTCTCCCATTGAGCCACAACATCACTTCTGGCTTTTTCTGTTTATGTGGTGCTAAGGAATCGAACCCAGGGCCTCATGCATGCAAGGCAAGTGCTCTACCACTGAGCCACCTCCCCAGCACCCCCTTCCTTTCTTAATGCAAATGTTTATGTCTTACAAAATATGGCCAATACTTCTCTTTTCTCTCTCCTTTGGGTCATGAAGAAGTACCTGACCAGGTACTGATTATTTTGGCAGGCTCGAATTTATTTGCATAATGCCCACTGCTCATCTGACCAGAATCTCAGGGGTCAGAGACATAATGCAAGCCCATGACTCCTTATCTAACAGGTGCTCAGCATGCATCTTCCAGATAGGATAGATAGGGTGACAAAGCTTCTGTAAACCATGGACAGGAACCTGTATTTCAAGTGAAATATTATCTAGGAGCTCAACATATAAAAGTTGGATGCTTATTACTTTTTCAGTAACAGATTGAAGCATAATTCATTCACCATACAATTTGCCTGTATAAAAATGTGCAATCCAGTTAGGTGCTGGTGGCTCACACCTATAATCCTAGCTCTAAGGATCACAGTTCAAAGCCAGCCCAGATAGTACGTCTCTTATCTCCAATTAACCAGCAAAACCAGAAGTAGCAGTATAGCGCAAGTAGTAGAATATCAGCCCTGAGCAAAAAAGCCAGGCAAGAGTGCCAAGCCCTGAGTTCAAGTCCTTGTACTGGCACAAAAATAAAAATAAATAAATAAATAGAATGTGTAATGCAATTATTCTCATTCTATTCAAAGACTTGTGCAACCATCACTACCAGTTAGAGAATATTTTTATAAAGTCTACAAAGAACTCAATGCTTTTATAGATATCACCTCCACACCTTCCACCCCCTTGGAAACCACTTTCCTTTCCTTTCCTTTTCTTTTCTCCTTCCTTCCTTCCTTCTTTCTCTCTCTTTCTCTCTTTCTTTCTTTCTTCCTTTCTTCCTCCTTTCTTCCTTCCTTTCTTTCCATCTGTCTTCTTTGGTGCCAGTTCTGGAGCTTCATCTCAGGGCTTGGGCTCTGTTCTGAGCATTTGTGCTTAAGGTCTAGTGCTCTACCACTTGAACCATAGGGCCACTTCCAGGCTTGGGCCTGGTTCAAACTGTGATCCTCAGATCTCAGCCTCCTTAGTAGTTAAGATTACAGACATGAGTCACAGGTCCTTGGTAGCGACTACTTTTCTACTTCCTCTTTCTCTTTGAACAGATTTTTGTCTGCTCTGGACATCTCATGTAAGTGGAAACTCCCAATAGGGGGACTTTTGTGACTGGCTTAAAAAAAAAACATACTATTATGTTCTCAGAGTTCATCTGTATCTGTGTCCTCAATAAGTAGAGAGTTCTATCATATTCTATTTTCTAAGAGAGATTTTGAAGAACTATCATTAATTCTTCTTCAGACGTTTGGAATAACTCCATTCTGGAGCCATCTGAGCCTAGACTTCCTGTTGTGGGTAGATCTTGGTGGCTATTCAATTTCTCTCCTTGTTCTGGATGAGTATT